GTTCCGATGGTGATGCCACGCAAATGGCGATCGTTTACGTCCAAGACACGCTTCCAAGTGATGGTTTCTGGATCGATATCGAGACGGGCAAACCGGCGGATCTCATCCTCAGTTAATGAATCTGGGTCGGTCTTATCGATGCCCAGCTTCTTTAGGCGCCGGAACATGACTGGCGCAAACACTCTCTTCCCGTTCTTGGCGGGTATCAGCCTTCGGTACAAGGGCCCGTCCTTTTGCGTATTCTCGTGAAATATGCGGGTGTCGATAGCGGCTGCAAGCAAATTATTCGCGGCCGTAATGGCGTGGATATCACCAGTCAGATGGAGGTTGAACTCATCCATGGGGATGACTTGACTGTAGCCGCCGCCAGCAGCGCCACCCTTGATGCCGAATGTTGGGCCCTGGCTGGGTTGCCGAACGTTAGCAAATGTTAGGCGGCCGATATGAGCACCCAGCGCCTGGGCGAGACCCATGGTTGTCGTAGATTTTCCCTCGCCAAGGGGCGTCGGGGTGATGCCAGTAACGACAACGTAGCGACCATCACGACGGTGGGCCAGGCGCTTAAGGATTCCGAGGTCGACCTTGCCCTTGTATGCGCCATATGGCTCCAGCTCAGATGGAGAGATGCCGATTTCGGTGGCGATCTGGGTAATGTGTTTTGGTGCTTGCGCTCTGGAGATGGAAATATCTGAAGGGACGGGGTCGAGGAGCTTGATGGGTAGTGGTACGACATGACGTTGCTTTTGAGCATTGAATGATTGTGTTGTGGCCTCGACGACGTTTTGGAGAAGCATGGCAACGGTCATGGGGCCGACGCCGCCAGGGACGGGCGTAATAAAAGAAGCAACCTGGGAGGCCGACTCGAAGTCGACATCGCCTACAAGGCGCGAGCCCGACTTCTTGGTTGCATCGGGAATGTAGTTTGTCCCGACGTCAATGACAACAGCACCCTCCTTAAGCCATTCACCCTTGATAAATTCTGGCCGGCCAATGGCAACAACAACGACATCGGCGTCCTTGAGGTAGTGCTCGAGGCCCGTCGTCTTGGAGTGACAGACTGTGACAGTGGCGTCGGCGTTCTTTAGCAGGTAACTGACAGGGCTGCCAACAATATCGCTTCGGCCGACGACGACGGCGTTCTTGCCGCTAAGGGTGACGCCAGCTTCCTTGAGGAGGACCATGACACCCTTGGGGGTGCAGGGGACGAAGGCTGGGTGGCCGCCACGCTTGGCCAGCTCGCCAATGTTTGAGGTGCCAAAGCCGTCGACATCCTTCTCGCTCGCGACGACCGAAGTGACGGCATATTCAGAGACGTGATCCGGTAATGGTAGCTGTACTAGAATGCCGTGGACAGATGGATCGTTGTTGAGTCGTTGCACTCGGGCAATCAGCTCGGCCTCGGTGGCCGACTCGTCAAACTTGATCAGCTCGCAATCAATGCCGCACTGTGCATGTCCAAGGCAGGTCAGTTGGTCTGCGTGGTATTGCGGCTAGGGATTTTTCAACATGATGCGTACCTCTTCGGCGGCCTTGAGCTTCATGCGCACATAGGTGGCTAAAGAGAGGGGTTTGGTGTCAGCACATGGGCCGTGTCCGGGAATCTGCCCCGCGAAAACGGCCATAGCAACGGCCGCGGTTTCGCGGCTGCGGCTTCGGCTGTGACCTGGTCGACGGCGGGGTTGGCGGCGGGGTTACTTACAGGAATCGGAACGGTCGCCCACTGCGGGGCTGGAGGTTAGCTACGCTCGTTTCTTCTGTAACTACCGTTGTGGTGGCATCCTTAGGGCGTACATACCTTGGACGATCTTGAGCGAGGGATGGAAGCGCGGGTTAGTCTCCTTGAGCTGTGCAATCTCGATGCGGAGTCCCTCGCGGATTTTCCTGGCAGTCGCCGTGCCGTCAATCTTGGTGGCCACCATGGTTGTTCTTGTCAGGGCCGAGCCAGAGAAAGTCCTGATGGATATGGGAGAGGAGGCAAGCGTGGTGGTAGTTTCTGGACGAGGGGAAAGACTAAAGACGGGGGCGATGCAACGAGAGCGAAGATACGATATCGCCAGGCGGTGGGTGGAGCTTAGGTTTCGCGGGGCGGATCGCACAGCATCGGCCGAGGATGCACGCCGGGCATCGGGCTGATGGAGAAAACTCAGGGTTCCTAGGCCCTGGCATCGCACACCGGTAGCATCGGCACCACCTTCTGTAACTAGCCCTCTCCGAATAAGGCGTGCGATTGTCATGACTGCCGGCTTTCCTCCTGCCGGGTACTTCTAAAGGGCTCTCTAGGTCTTTCAAGGGTTTCCAGGATCTCAGCGACTCTGTCGGGCGCGACTCTGGGCCTGCGCCGGCAGGGTCAAGACCACCAGGGCAGGCAGTGAGGCCCGAGGCTTGAGGTACTATCGTACCTACTCACCTCCTGCAGTGGCAATGGCTATCCTTGCTTCGGGTCTTCTCTCCTACGGCGGATGCGGGAGGCCGATTGAAGTCTAACGGCGCTGGACCTACAGGCTTTGCAAAGCTCGGCTGCCACAAGCAAGGACAGGCAGGGACGCACGATAAGTGGACGGGCGATGCAGCTTTGGCGAAAGTGCAGAGAATCCAGAGTACAATTGAGATGCTGTCGTTTGGTTGTTCCAAGCAGAACGGCCGATGCTTTTGAATCATGACCCGCCCCCTGAATACGGTTGGGCATTTGGCAATTATTTACAGCTTAAAACGAGAAAGCGCTGTTCTGACCGCCGAATCTGGCTGACGCGCATCGTCATTTTTAGCGTCCTCGACAGTGAGGAGCAGGTGGTCACAAGCAGATTTACCCCTCCAGTTAGGCTTAGTGGGTTTCCGAAATCCATGTGACGCCCCACAAAAGAAATACCTACTACCTTGGCTTCAAACTTTTCATACGAGCAACTCCGACAACTCGTCCTCCCTGCCTCAGAAAGGTGTTGAGAACTTGCCTATCAGCCGTTTACTTTGGTCTACTTACCTGTACTGGCCAACCCAGTTATTCGTCGACGTTTCGCTGCCCGTCACCGCTGCCGCTACCACCGCCATGTCCAGCGATACCAGCGCCGATCTGCTCGGCCAGTACACGGATTTCCTGACGAGCAATCCAAGTCGGAGCGATCGGAAAATCCTCAAGGAGACGTTCTGTTTCATCAAGCGAGAGCAGACAGAGCTGGACCGCCAGACCCTCAGCGGCTTTCTAGAAAGCGATCCGCCGAAGGAGAGCTCCAAAGGCATCCTGCCGCTGGATGAGCTTACCGAACGTGTAGAGCTAATTGCGAAGATTGAAGACAAAATTCAGGTAAGGGACGAAGATTACGAATTTGGCGACCATGGTTTCGCCGCTTTGCTTGTTACTCCGTTGGAAGTCTTACGATTAGCAAACAATTCGCCTAGGATCGGCACGCGAACGATGATGCAGAGTATAAGATTGGGCCTTGGTATTATTTCCGACTTTGTCCGCCTATGTATGTTCATCCGATATTCTCTCTCCCAAAGCTTATCTAACCTATTATAGTCCTTACACGAGACGACAGCAATACTAAGGTCAAGACCGACATCGAGTTAGAGTCATCTGTGCTAACTTCTTCTAGAAAACGTAAAAACATAGCTAAGTCTGTCGCTCCGTCCCAAAAACGGCCTAAGAAGGACGGGGATCCTAAGTATATTCCGGGGACGGTCGACGTAACTGGCAAACACAACCGGTATAAGAACCAAGCTTGGCTTCGGCAGGGACTTGATAGTAGACGATATGTAATTACGGGAACCGCCGACCCGGACGTCTGCCACATTATCCCACATTCTACATGTGCACGGCCTGAAACACTCTCACGATTTAGACAATGTTTCGGCGATGTGAGCATTTTGATCTCTGATTGCGATGAAGCTAGCTTGAACGAATGGAATGGATGGTTTACAGCACGGCTTGGAGTTTCTGATCAGGCTTGGAACATGATCAGTCTAAACACCCAGCTTCATAAGTGGTGGGGAAAGGCACACCTTGGGTTCAAGTGCCAAGGTATTCTTCCCGGACTTACAGATGAGCAACAGCTCGTTCGCCTACAGTTTCACTGGTTACCAAGAGCTTTATCAGGCGTACGAGATGAGCAGGATCTTCAGATACACCTAAAAAATACCTGGAACCTACGCGAAGGAGTTGCAGCCTTCAGGACTACCGCACGGCTTGTCGCAACAGGCGACATCTTGGATGTTGTTGTGGCGGCTGAGGACGCTTTCAAGATGAAGCGGGCATTCGACCTTCAATGGGCTTTGATCCGGATCGCCGCTTTAACCGGCACTGCCGATGTTAATGACGATGTTGTCGATACTGATGACTCCGGCCCGCCTGGAGAAGGGCTGATCGAGGAATCAATCGATATACGAAGCTGGCTTGACGGTATTGTGCCTAGTAACGGCGATGACGACAACGACGACGATGATAATGACGATAGCGTTCACGACAATACCAGCAAGCTCCCAATCACATTGAGTATCCAGGCCAGAGGCCTGCTTGAGCAGCAAGATCATTTACCAGCATCGATCCCAGCCAGCAACGCAGCTTTGAAGGAGAACCAGTCGCCCATGCCGGCCCCGAATCCAGTACCCGGAAGTACAGAGGAGACGCAGGAACGTGTGCCAGACTTGATGGACACGGTTTTCGGGAATCAATTCCTACCATAATTGTACATGTGCACGTAAATAACTAGCTAGGCCGGCCTAACCCTCTTTAACTGGGGGACGAAACCTGCCGTATCACCCATTCTTCTCTCCCACTTGAGACTGTATAGATGAGGACGTCAACCGAAGTTGGGGTTGGGGTCTGGGGTCTGGACGCGACGGGGAGTGTGCGACCAGTCAGGGTGAAGCAGCGAGATAAAATGGAGAAGGGCGCTAAACCCGGTGGGTGCGACAGTGACTTCTCGATTACAGATTTAATGCGAGAAAGCGCTGTTGTAGTTGTGCCAGAGACAAAAAGGAAGAGTGTTGTGTGGGGGGCAAAAGGATGATCGCACTCAGGATTGAACTGAGGACCTTCAGCGAAACTAAAGAGCTGCCAATTAGCTAGAAACTTGTTAAACTGACGTGATAACCAAACTACACCATGCGACCGATGTAAATTCTGTGATGCAATGAGGCATATAGGTCACTGGTGTGGTGGAGTTGTGGGAAGCGGCATGGATGGGGTCTTCCAAGTGGAGATAGAGTCAAGGTTCGAAACTAATGCAATTCGATGTTGTTTCGAGGACTAATTTGGCTTCTTCCGCAGCCTTCCGGAACGCCGTTTCCCCCCATCCCCTTCGGCATCCTGGGAAATCTTCAAATCGGCCGCAGTTCCGTTGGTGTGTGCAGAAGGCTTGGCCTGCACGGCTTTGCCTTTTTTAGCAGGCTTTTCGTCTTCCGAGTCCTCCACCTTGATCTTTCTCTTCTGGGGTTGCTTCATTTTGGGCTCTGCGTTGCTCTCGGCCTTTTTTGCTGTCGCTTTCGACTTGGATGGCTTCTTCGGTTTTGACACCTCCTGGTCAGAGTCGGCGACCTCCTCTTTCACGCCTGATACAACGCTTCCAGTCTTTTTCTGGAGACCCGGGGCATAGCAACTGGTTCTTCCTCCCACAGTCAGAAAGGCTAGCTTCTCGCCGCTTGGTAGATGTCCTGGCCCCTTTGTACCCTTCCCCCATCGATAGTGGAATACCCAGTCTTTTGGAAACTGATCAGAGTCCCCCAGCTTGTCAACTGCTAACTGGCAAACATATAGGATTGCTCCGTATAGTTTTGTGATCTGTTCATCGCTGAATTCATTGCAGTATTGTTCCGGATGGAGCTTTGCTTGAAAGAGAACCTCATCGCCGACCCAGTTGCCAATGCCGCTGATGACAGCCTGGTCAAGAAGGAGGGCCTTAATTGGCACATGTCGTGAGCGCATCTTTTGACTGAGAAAGGCCTTGGTGAAGACATCAGTATCGACGACGGGGTCCGGCCCGTTCTCCACGAGTGGTGTGTTTTGTCTGATACTTTTCCCATCGCAGTTGACGAGGCGAACACGACTAAAGCGCCGGGGGTCGGTGAATGCAAGTTCAACTGCATCATCAGTCTTCAGCTGAAACTTCCAATACTTTGGGGGCCAGGCGTCCGCCTCGTCCGCCTTCAACTTGTTGTAGTAGTTGGTGTACGCTGTCCGTTCGCCTTTAATATGGATCCAGCCTGTAGGGCAAAGTCAGATGGCACATAATATCATAGAACAACAGGGCCACGAGACATACCCGTCATGCCAAAATGCATAACCAGATGTGGAGGTTTGCTGAGCACAATCCTGGGCGGAATCAGTCAAGGCTTCTATTCGGCATCACGCTGGGTCTCAAACCAAAAGTATTTCCCTTGGTTCCCAGCCGAGACGACCTTTTTGCCATTCAAGGCCTCGGCGACCTCAACGCCTGTGGTTCCAACCTTGCCAAAGACATTGGTATCCTCGATGGCCGATGCAGTCTTGATGGTTTTCCCCACTAGGTGGAGGCGCAAATAGTGGACGATTCGAGCAACTACACGTCATGTTAGCGAATATCTCGATACTCAATGCTATTTTACTAAACAAACTCTCGGCAATCTCAGGCATGGTGAGTGATGCAAGTCGGCAATCTCTAAATCGCTGTTGTTGTTGCTGTTGTTGAGAAGAAGAAACAGCGACGCAGCGAGAAATGAGGCAGGCGCGTCGCTGTGGTTTGTTGGTGGGCGGTGTCGAAACACTGCCAACGCGAGACTGAGGCGTCTGCACGTGTCGCACTTGTGTCATGGGCAGAGGAGGGGCACACAAGGGCTGTACGTCCGTACTCCACAAAAGTCCCAAGTGGAGTTTTTGCTCGCCCCACATTTCTACAGCTTCAAAACCTCGTCTCGATTTTTTTTCCTTCTCCAACTTTCCTCTCTCACCATCAACCATCATAGTTGGCAACTCCCTCTGGTAAGACATCTCCTCTCCCTCGCACCCCAAAACAGGCAGCTAGCCTGATGACACCACACAAACCGCAAACTAGAGTCTTTGATCTTTATTGATATGAAACTGAATTGTAACGTCAGTCTGAACATGACAGCTGCCAATTATCTTGCACTTTCCGACCTTCTGGTTTTGGGCCCCAGCTAACGCGTATAAAAGTTTCTAGTTTGCTCTCCAACATCCGCTGCCCTCTTCCGATTGGAGGATGGCGGAGAACACAGGGAGTCCGCTGGGGTGTTAAACGGTGATGGCTCTCGGGGTGATGGTATTCTCCAAGTCCAAGGGGTCTCGAAATCTGGAGGTCAGTTTGATCAGTTTTTGCGCCCAGCACCAACACAACGTGATGATTCAATTTTTGCTTCGGCAAGTTGGAATTACCGACTGATTTTATACTGAAGACAACAATGGCTGTTTCTGATTATCCCCTCTCACCTCATGCATCTCAAACCAATGACTGCATTCACATGCTGACCTACCGTTCAGATCTTTCTAGATTTTTGATACGTCTTCTGTCGGTAGCGGTGGCTTTATTCTGGTAGGTCTCTTCTCTCCTCCAATCCCACACGCTTCCCTGATGAAACGGCACTGGGCTCCGATTTTATTATTATGAGCAGATATGCCATTCTGTGACAGGCCTAGAAAACCTCGTCCACTGATTTAGCATCCATTGTCCCTCTGCATCATCGCATTTTGTGGGCCTTGTGCGCTAACCCTCAAGAGTCTGGCAGATCAACATCACATGCATGGATCCGCCGTCAACCGCCTGGGCAGTGAGTACCAACAACACTTGCACAAGCACTACCATATGATGATTACAAGATGACGAGTCTTATCCGGGATTCCCGATGCAGACAACCTATTTCCCTACCATTCATGCCAATCTGACACCAAAAGCAACACGCACCTCATCTGAATACCCTTTCAGCGAACTTGAGCTGACCTTGTGAAGTTAGATTTTTCGTCTTCATGGTTTTGCACGCAGAGCCTCGGTAAACTATGTTGAGTGTGGTATGTGCCGAAGCTTTTCTTCCCTCCATACCACCCAACACAACATGATGATTTGACAATTAAAGACAAGCATATGTCAGAGCTCCGGCGAGGAAGACACAGTCATTCCTGATTCTCTCCCCACATCATAATTTTGTCGGTTCTGACTTAGAAAGCGATGTTAATTAACTCTTGCAGATTTCATCAGATGGCTTCGCACATCACTTTTCTCGCCAATTATTCACATGGCAACAGTAAGCGCACTCCCATTTTCTTCCTCTCCCCCGACTTTGATGATGATTACAATTTTATCACGACGGTCTACATAGCTTTACGCTTTGATGATACTTGTCTTTGACCAGGCACCTGTCTGACAAAGTCAAACCCCCACAACTTTTGCACTCTTCACGAGCGTGGATGATCATAGGCTAACATTGCCAAGTCTAGTAGTTTCGCTCTTTCACACGCCATTAATCAACACGGGTTACCAATACCCTGCGGTAAGTTTTCGGCACGTAGGCTTGACAATAGTCCCTCCACCGTGTGATATGCCGCAGAGCACTTCGTCTTTGAGGACCCAGCGCAGCAGTGAAGCAGCGCAAGCATTTTGTGCGTATATACAGAACATATATTTTTATCATTACTTCGAAGTCTTGTGTGCTCGGGGTGTCTAAATAAAGACATTATTCATTACTTTGAGTTGGTAATTCTGCTCCTATGTTTGTGCCGGTTTATTAATTATTTCCTGGTAGCTCGATTGTGATACATCTTCTCATCCATGATATTTGTCCTGATTTGCCTTTTACCCTTCCAAACTCCCAAAAAGACGCTGCTGTGTCAAATTACCCCAAGGATTTTTACCGCAAAGAAACTCCCTATAATTACTCCCAACTGTATCGTTGGAGCTGATAAGCGCAGAGCACCATCCGTTTGTGGTGTCGCTGTGGCAGTAAACAGTCCTGTCAGAGTCGGAGTGCTCGTCGGACTCGGTGGCGTCCCGCCGGAGTTGGAACTCGTCAGGGTGGCGCCAGGCCAGTCACTCGACGCGGGATACCACGCGCCGTTAATAACGACACCCTTTCCATTGAGGATGCTCTGAACCGTGTCCTGGGGACAAGAGCTGTCCAGGGCGCGGACGTAGCACGTGGCCGTGGGACTTGACGGCAGGCTAAAGGAGGCGGTGGCATTGGCGGGGCCCGTGGTGTTGTAGCTCGTCAGGTTGACGATGGCACCCGTGCTGAGCGATGTGCCGGTGATGATGCGCGCGAAGACCTGGAAGGCCGTCTCGGGCTGGTAGGCCGGCACGAAGTGGCCGGCTTGGTAGATGCGCGAGAAGGAGAGGTTGCCAAACTGCCGCACGACGCCGCCGATGTAGCTGTTGTTGACGATGATGGGCGCGTAGCCCGCGGTGGGAAATGAGGCTCCGTAGACGCCGCCGAGGGTGGAGGCGATGGAAAGGGAGACGGCTTCGCCGCCGAGCCAGTTGCAGATGTAGTCGCGGTCGCCATAGACAAGACCGATACGTACGCCGCGCGCGAGGAGGGTCGCGAGCTTGGGGACCATCGGGCTGCGTACCCAGTCGCCGGTCGACAGGAAGGCATTGTAGACAGTCTTGCTGGTGTCGGTGTAGTTGACGACGGAGCCGATGGCGTCCTGGACGGAGCGCTTGTTGAGGTACTCGATGTAGTAACTGGGCGGGAAGGACTCGGGTGTCTGGTGGGCGATATCGTAGAAGCTGCGCCCAGTCTCGGAGTAGGCATCGAGGAGACTGTTGCATGCGGCCATGGCCTGTCTGCAGAGATCGTCGATGTCGTCCACGGCTGTGTGGAACCCGTTGTCGAGCAGGTAGCTTTGTGTACGGCACCGGGTGACCATGTCTTGGCAGCCCCCTCGCTCGTAGAACGACCCGTTGACCATCTTGGCGCGGACAGGCGATATGAGCTGTAGACCATAGGTATTGTTGATGGCCATGTCGGCGAGGTGGGCGCCCTCGATCCTATCGTCGACACAACCATTGATGAGGCCTAGAGATACCAGGTTGATGTCTAAGGTCGAGTTTGCCAAGCTACTGTTTTGACGAATTTGATTCTGATCCTCCCACACCTCAGCAAAGGCGGGAGCATACTTGCCGCCATAA